CACACACACACACACACACACACACACACACACACACACACACACACAGCAAGTCCCTCTCACCCCAGAAAGCAGAGCAGGCATGTAAATAATTTCTGGAAAGTGACTGTTGTGACCAGGAGTCATCTTCACCCAGACGGGAGAGCTCCCAACGGGCCGCCCCCACCCTGAGGACGCAGGCCCAGGCCCGGAGCCTCTGGTATCTTCAGCTTGTGTCAAGCTTGTTATCATGTAAATTCTGTACAAAGAATTGTTATTTTTCTCTTTTTTTTTTTTGTCGTTGGTGGTTTTGTTGTGTTTTTTGTTTTGTTTTGTTTTGTTTAATTTCTTTACCCCATGCCCTCCCTGTTTGAGATTGTGCCCACCAGTTTCAGGGTTTCAAGGTCGATGAAATCGGTGGCATTAAGACACAGAGGAGGGACCTGGGCACAGCGGCAACCTTCTCTTCCATTTGCGGTTTTCTGCCTAATTGTGCAACTGAGGAAATATTTATTTTTCACATGAGGAAATGTGTAGTTTGTAGAGATGGTTGATTTAAGTTACTCGTGCAAGCCCCCAAGGGGCTGCCTTCATTCTCACCCCTCTCCCCCGAGAAGAAGTGGAGGGGGATGTGAGGAAACCGGGGTTGGGGGCCAGCCTCACCCCTCACCCTGGCCTCACCTTGCCCAAGCGGCGAGGGGCTGCACCCTCCCCGTCCCCAGGAACCCCCGCCCCACCCCCAAAATGGTTTGCCGTATCCAGAAACATGGCTCATTTTTCTTTCAATACCTTCATTTTCATTGAACAAATCTTTGCTTTTGAAAAGTTAGGGGTTTCTGCTTTTTTTTTTTTTTTCTTGTCCCTCCCTCCCTGCCTCTCTCCTCCTGCAAAGAAGAGAACCCATAAGTTTTAGGGATGTTTGTGCATATAGACTCTGTCATCCGTATGTAACTTGTTTTGAAGAGAAGTGTTTCCGTTGTGGGTGTGTCTTGCTGTAAATATTTGTTCATATTTTTGTGAATTCAATACTATGTACCATTGTATTATAGTAACTTTTATAAAGCAAACCATAAATATACTGACTTTTCTTACAGATAACGCCATCTCTCTTGCTCTCCTCTCTCCCTCTCCTCCTCCTTTCTTTCTGATGGGGCACACCCCGCTCACAGGGAGGGTGGCCTGGCTAGGCTCCGGGTAGAAGGAGCTAGGTGTGGTGTGGTCCACTCAGACTGGTGGTTCTTTTTTTTTTTTTTAATATTTTATTTATTTATTTGACAGAGACACAGCGAGAGAGGGAACACAAGCAGGGGGAGAGGAAGAGGGAGTGGGAGAGGCTTCCCGCCGAGCAGGGACACTGATGTGGGGCTCGATCCCAGGACCCCGGGATCATGACCTGAGCCGAAGGTAGTCGCTTAACTGACTGAGCCACCCAGGCGCCCCAGACTGGTGGTTCTTAAACTCTGAGCCTGTTAGGTGGATTATGTGAACTGGGTCAAGTTATAGACTAGACCTTTCAAGGTTTTTTTGCTTTTAAGTTTTGCTTCTATAACTGTTCTTAAAATCTTAGGTCTAACACTGCTAAAGGTTTGCAATTAGGAAACAAACTCAAATATCCTATTGCTCTCACTGGAAGAAATTGGAAAGGTGGTACCTCAAAGATGCTCACCACTCGTTTTCAGGAGACAGCCCTCTGGTTTGCATTTGAGGGGGAAGGGACTGATAAAAGAGCCACAAGTTAAGAAGCATTAAGTGAATCTAGTGTTTGTGGTATTCCAGAGCTTCTGTGCCCCGTAGGTCTCAACTCTGCCTGATCCAGTGGTGAGGTAGCCACGGGGCCCACGGAGAGTTGGTTAGATGTTGTCCACTTGCCCCTGAGAAGGCCAGACGCCAAACCCCAGCCATAAGCAGCATGACTGAGAAAATGCCTGACCTCCCTTCTTACTAGGGACATGCGAATTCCACCGCAAGATAGCCAATGTTGGCCAGCATGGGGCGGGGGGCACTTGGGCATCATTAGTGTAAGCTTAAGTTGCCACAACCTTCGGGAGGAAAAATTAGATATTAACAGTTTAAAAATGCACATGAACTTCCGGCATAAATGTTCCGCTGTTTGGAATTGAGCCCGACAGCCACAAGCAGGCAACAATATGTACACAGTTGTTCTTTGCAGCCTCACTTGTGAAGGCAAGGGAGATGCCCTCGGTGGTGGGCTCCTTTTCGGAATTGTACATCCAGACAGGTGAACACCACCTGAAGGTGGATTCGTGGGGCCAGGAAAGGCTGAGGGGGAGACTGAGCCAGGAAAGAGAAAAGAGCAGCTGCTAGCCATTCTGTTCATTCAACCAATATTACTGAGCACCTACGATGTGTCAGACGGTTCTCTAGGCACTGGGGATACAGGAGTGGAGAAAACACCCCCCCTGTCTTGGTGATTGTGTTCTTGTGAGCCAGGAAAATATGAAGAACACACGCCATGATAAGGAGAAAATTAGCTATGAGAAAGGGGTATCGGTTGAAAGGGGGTGAGATTTTTTTATTTTTTAAAATTTTTTTTTAACGATTTTATTTATTTGACCGAGAGAGACACAGTGAGAGAGGGAACACAAGCAGGGGGAGTGGGAGAGGGAGAAGCAGGCTTCCCACGGAGCAGGGAGCCCGATGTGGGGCTCGATCCCAGGACCCCGGGATCATGACCCGAGCCGAAGGCAGACGCTTAACGACTGAGCCACCCAGGCGCCCCAAGAGGGGGTGAGATTTTAAATACAGTGGTCAGGGAAGTCTGCTTAGCCCACATGTGAACAAAACTCAAAGGAGAGGGTGCCTGGGTGGCTCAGATGGTTAAGCGTCTGCCTTCGGCTCAGGTCATGATCCCAGGGTCCTGGGATCGAGTCCCGCATCGGGCTCCCTGCTCCTTGGGAGCCTGCTTCTCCCTCTGCCTCTCTCTCTCACTGTCTCTGTCTCTCATGAATAAATAAATAAAATCTTAAAAAAAAAAAAAACTCAAAGGAGATCAGCCCCGTGGACACCTGGAGGGGAGGGTATTGAAGGCAAAAGCAACCATGAGTGCAAAGGTCCTGAGGCTAAAGCCGCCTGGTGTAATTGAGGACCAGCACAGAGGTCCGGAGGTCCGAGGGGCTGCAGCTGAATGAGGGAGGGGGGAGTAAAGGAAATGAGGTCTGAGAGGTCCCCAGTCGGGGTGGGGGTGGGGGTGGGGGAGGGGGAGGCAGGTGCTGTGGGGCCTTGCAGGGCCGCATGAGGACAACCCAGGGCGTCCAGCCCAAGGCACAGAAAGAAAACACACAACCAAATTTGAGTTTCCTTCATCTTCCCTCTTGAACCGGCTCCTCCTGCCATAATTTCCACCTTGGTCAATGGCACTTCTATTCGGCCCCTCCACCCACCACTGCTGTGGCTGGTTACCTGAACTCGAACCCCAGAAAACCCCAACTTCTCCTTTTCCCTCCACTACCAAGTCAGACGGTTCTCCTCCCTTATTCTTCAAATCTATCCACCTCTCCCTCTGCCCCTCAGTCCCATAGGACAAGTCCTTTCTTCTCTGGTCCTTCTGTGGGGGCCAAAAAGGGAGCCCCAACTTGAGCCATCTGCATGTAGGCCAGGGTGGGGTGGGGAGAAGGAAGTGCCAGGCAGACTCAGGCAAGACCCCTCACCCAGGCCCCTCTCCCAAAATAACAAGAGCAAACCCATAGCCCTGACATCATGCCGGCCACTGTTTTAAAACATCTATTAAACGGGGCGCCTGGGTGGCTCAGTTGGTTAAGCGGCTGCCTTCGGCTCAGGTCATGATCCCAGGGTCCTGGGATTGAGCCCCACGTCAGGTTCCCTGCTCAGCGGAGAGCATGCTTCTTCCTCTCCCTCTCCCTGCTGTTCTGCCTACTTGTGCTCTCTCTCTCTCTCTGTCAAATAAATAAATAAAATCCTTAAAAAAAAAATAAAACATCTATTAAACGTACCGCAGTGCTAGGAGGTGGGTGTTGTTACCATCCTCATTTATCAGGTAAGGAAAATTGAGGCACTGAGAAGTCAAGTAGCTTGCCCGAGGTCACACAGCTAGCAAGTAGCTGATCTGGGGTATGAACCCAGGCAATCCTGCTCCCTAGTCTGTGCTCAGCTAATGAGGGTCTGCTCTGCCCATGTCCCGTCTAAGGAGGCACCCACCACCTGGCACCAGCTGATCGTTACTGCATAGGAACGCAAGCCCAGAACGGCCTGGTTCTTCCAAGAAGAACCAGAATCCTAGAATTTGTATGTGAAATATCCCAACTTTCTGAAATGATGACTCACATTTGTTTAAAACTACACAGACTAAATAAAATACATCAGTGAGCCAGATTTGGCCAGTGAGCCACCAGTTTGCAACCTTCTGAGATACAGAATTTCTCTGCTTTGCATAAGCCATGGGAAAATGGAAGGAGGGTATTTTTAACTGGGGTTGTCATTGTTCCTCTGGCTTCTCACTGCTATTCTTTTCATTTCTCAAGTTCATGATCCCAGAAACCCTGACTTCTAAGTTCATGATCCCAGAAACCCTGACTTCTATAATCTAGGGGGGGAATCCCCCAATTTCCCTACTGTACCAACTTAGAATTTTCCCTTACGCTCAGATCTGCCTGCTCCCGGTTCTGAGCTGACTCACCCGCAGGAAGGGCTGGGCAAGTATCAGAAGCAGAAGAGAGCCAATTTACCCCCAGTTCCTTTCTCCAGTTTTTAAAACTCGAGGGCAGAAGCTGAGGGGCTCAGAGCCACCCCCCCCACACACACACCTGCTCTACTTCTCAGACCAGGAACCATGTCGCTAGGTTGCTGGGCAGGGATGTGCCCCGAAGTTCCTTGGCTAACACTCCAGGTTTTTCCGTGTCTGGTTCCCAAATGTTGTCTCTCCAGCGGGGCTTTCTCTCCACCGAAATTAGCACCCCTCCCAGTTTTACCTTCACACAATCTCATCATCACCGCTTTATCTTCATAACACTCTGTGAAATGATACTGTCTTCCCCTCTAGCGTGTCGGCCCTCTCCACCCCTTGGTTCCAGAATTCTCCCTGACCGGCGCGGTCCCACTTAGCAAAACGCTTGCACCCCGCGCCTCCCGGGCTTCGGCAGGGCTCGGAAGCCGGAACGCGGACGCCTCCTGCAGTGCTGCGGCCCTGAGCTCCCCCTGCAGGCCGAGGGGCGTCACTGCCCCAGCACGGCGCAAACACCAAGACCCCTCACAGGACCCCGGTCCGCTTTATTTCGGAGGGCGGGGAGCAGGGAGGGGCCCAACCGAGGGGGCGTGGTCAGCGCCTGGGTGTACCGGCTGGTGGGCGGGGCCTGGAGGGAGTGGCCAGTAAGGAAGGCTTGCAGTTCAGGGTCCGTGGGGTGGGCGTGGCCCACCGTACGCCTGCGGATGGGCGGGGCCACGGTGGGGCCACGGTGTGGGCAGCTGGGCCCGCAGGGCCTACATGCCCGGCAGGGTCCGGGTGTTCTTCAAGTCGGTGAGGTTGCCCCGCAGGTCCTGCTCCTCCTCGAAAGCCTTGAACAGTGAGTTGAAGTTGCCGGCTCCAAAACCCTGGAGCGGGAGAGAGAAGAAGGTGAACTGCGGGTCTAGAGAAAGCCAACCGTGCTACCCTGCCTGGCCTCGGGGGCTTGTCGGGGATAGCTCGTACCTGGTGATTGTGGCGCTGGATGACTTCCAGGAAGAGCGTGGGCCGATCCTGCATGGGCTTGGTGAAGATCTGCAAGAGGTAGCCTTTCTCGTCGTAGTCTACCAGGATTTTCAGCTCCTGGGTAGGAGACAGGAGGCTGGGTTAGAGGGGCGGCTGGCCCACACTCCAATTGGGCACGGTGGAGTCTTTAGAAAGCCCGTCAGAGCTCCTGCACCCGAAAGCCAAGAAAAGATCCCATTCTCCCGCAGTTCCAGACACCTCCAAATAGATCCCTAAATTCTTCTGTTACCACCTGCCCGCCACAGTCCGTGTGTAAGCCACCGTCAAGGCTGTCCTGGATCACCCACCCCAGTGGTCTCTGCACAGGTCCCACTGCTTTCCTCTTGCCTCTTTGCAATCTATCCTCCCCACGGACACCCCAAGGGATCTTTGAAAAATCAGATCATGTCGTTCCCCTGTTTAAAATCCTCCGGTGGAAATCAGAACCCTCCTAGTTACTGGTGGAATGTAAAATGCTTGCAGCCCCTGGAGAAAACTGGCAATTCCTCAAAGGTTAAACATAGGGTTAACTATAACCTGGCAGTTCCACTCCTAGGTATAATCCCAAGAGAATTAAAAACACAGGTCCGCACAAAAACTTGTATACAAATGATTACAGCAGCACTACTCATAGTAATAGCCAAAAAGCGGAAACAACCCAATGTCCATCAACTGATGAATAGATAAGAAAAATGTGATATACCCACACAATGGGCTATCATTCAGCCACAAAGAGGAAGGAAGCACTGACACCTGCTACAACCTGGATGCACCTTGTGAACATGATGCTCCGTGAGAGGAGCCAGACACAAAAGATCCCATAGTGCATGATTCCATTTATATGACAAGTTCAGAATAGGCAAATCTATAGAAACAGAAGACAGATGAATGCTTGCCTAGGACTGCAGGGTGTGGGGGCGAGGGGCGGTAATGGAGGGACTGGGAGGTGATGAGGGGTGTGAAGTTTCAGGTGATGAAAATGTTCTAAAATTGATTTTGATGATAGCTGCACAACATAGTGAATAGCTAAAAACCACTGAATGGTGCACTTTATTTTTTAAAGTTTTTTAAAAAAGGTTTTATTTGAGAGAGAGAGAAGGAGTGGGGGGAGGGGCAGAGGGAGAGGGAGAAGTAGACTCCCTGCTGAGCAGGGAGCCCCACTGAGCAGCAGAGCTGGGAGCCTGACCTGGGGCTTGATCCCATCCCAGGACCCCAGGATCATGACCGGAACCAAAGGCAGACGTTCAACTGACTGAACCACCCAGGTACCCCGAATTTAAAAGCGCTTTAGGGGCGCCTGGGTGGCTCAGTCGTTAAGCGTCTGCCTTCGGCTCAGGTCATGGTCCCAGGGTCCTGGGATCGAGCCCCAC